TTCTGTATCCAAGCAGCCACCAACTGTTGCACTGCTTCCCCAGCCATGCTACCACACAAAAGCCAACCAGCGTAGATCGGACTTGTGCCCAAATGGCTGTAGATTTGAGCCCAACCATGTCCGACTGAACAATTCCGAAGTAAGGAACCTCAACGAGTCTCAATCAACCCAATCCCCAACACCGGATGGTCTCGCCTCGATACTCAGACTCTTCGGCAGGCTGTGGAGGTGGCCATGGACCTTGTGGCACGCACAGCCTACCGCAAAGGGGTTGTGGGAGAAAGCTGAGGGGCAAACAGAGTACAGGCCAGAACCGAAAGCCAAATGGCTTGAACAAAATGGCAACCAAATATACACCGCATGACATATGCCTCGTTTGGGATGATCCCTCTGAATGTGCCTCTTTTGGACAATCATGCCTCGTTTGAAGATTTCTGCTCGGAATAGAGAAGAGGCACATAATAATGCTCGTTCGAAGATTCAGGTCTAAACACATCAAGTTGAAATACCAACTGGCACCAACAACTAACATGTTTTTCCCATGATTCCTCAGAAGTTCCCACCCTGAAGTTCTCAAACAGCGAAGATCTTGGTAAAGTTCTCAATGTGAAGCGAACTTGGCTGTAAAGAGAGAAGGAACACATGATGATAACAATTGTGTTTTTCAAGATTCAAGGCTCTATCTTCAGGTTCCAGGTGTTCTTCCACAGCGTACCTACAATGATAGTGACCACTTCCTGCCTTCAGAAACTCCAGGCTTTACTGAACGGTGTCTTCATGTTTCTTCTTTTCCATGATGAAGTACAAATGCCATTAAAGGTTCGGTTGAGAAACTACAGGTGTGTTTCTCCTAAAGACCAGTTATAGGGATTCCCAGTTTCCATGCAGTTCTACTGATCCTTGAATGGCAGGGAAACACCATGTTTAGGTGGTTTGCAGGCGCGAAAAGCTCGTGTTGTTCTTCCTGTTCTTCCCGTTTGCTCGTCGTCCCCTCCCATTTTTGGGCTGGGAAGATCCTGTACGTTTACACCACACCGTCCGAGGCGTCCAAATCCTTTTCTGATTTGTCCAAGCGCAGGACACGGAGCACCCTGAGACGGGTTCGGAATCGGCTCGCCCGACGTTGTTGATAAAGACGCGGTCCAACTCTCAGGGTCCAACGAACTCTTCTCTCCGAAGTGAAGACCCGGTTTTGCCAGCGAACCGGTGCAGCCGCAACCGGTCGGGCTCCAAAAACGGAGGCAACCGAAGACCGAGAAGATCACCCCTTTTTTCGGTCCATCCATATTAGAGACCGTCTTTTTTTGCGAAGTGAAGGATCTCCTTGGGTGTGTTTCCCGGTAAAGAACGCTTTACAAAGGTCGAAGTGGGATTGTCACAGTTTTCCCCAAGGATTTACTGGGTGTTCTTCGCCTACTTCACCGCCTGTGCAGCGACTTGGTGTTGACCGCTCGCGCGCTCCTCGCTCGCGCGCGGGGTCGACGCACCCAGCTTTTGTGCATCTCAGGGCCACCCTACCAACTCACCACCGACCACGCGATACAACGTGTCTTGGAAATTCCATACGCCTCGGCCGGGGGCGTCCACATTCTGAGATCCCAACGGCCTTTCTCCCTGCGGACGTTCAGGGTCACAAGCGATAGGAGGGTCCTGCCTGCAAACCATATGGAATACACATCGTGCCTGCCTGATGGGGGGACCACCTCTTTTTTTACACCTAAAACGTGCAGTCAATGAGTGGACGTGGTTTCGCTGCTGCGTAAGCCAGCGGTCGTACGCCCCGCCCCAAAACGCATCCTTCCGCTGGCTGGGGGCGGGCTCTGGTCGTTCTCAGGCCTGGGCGGTGCGCCGCTTCTTGCTGCATTTTGAGCCTTCTGGAATGAGGGAGCAGTCCGGGGCCTCAAAACAGCGGCCTCTTGGTGTCCGTGCGCGTGGAAGCACGGGTGGCCCTATGATGACCAACTTCCGCAAGGGTGTCACGTGCCGGGCCATTTTGTGGCGACACGGGTCTCATATGTTTTGTTGAAACACGGACTTGATTCGATTCCACTAAAAAACAGAAAACACATTGTCTTGGACTCCGACGAGGGGGTCCGTTATACAGTTGTTTATGGTGAACGATTGAGACAAGAAGGACTGCAGTGCCAGGAGCTTCAGTCAGTGACGGCTTTCAAGTCTTTGTGACCTCTTTGGGGACTACTGTAAGTCACATTCTGGTATCTCAAGTTCGGTCAACCCATGAATGTCCTGGTGGTTGATTCCCCATTCAACAACATGAAACATCAACCCTCCCTGAGAGGAATGGTTGCTTCTTGGGCGAATCGGAAGATCCGTAACTCGGCGCTGCCAGGTATGGGGTCGCGCCCAGCGCCATGCACGGGCACGTGATCATCGGGCAACCCGATGCCAAAGAGACGCGGGAACCGCGCAAAAAATGGGGCGGGGGTTCGGAAAAGTGTTGTTCTTTGATGTTCTTTGCTTTTATTGGTTGTGGGAACTGTTCATTATTGGCAAGAAACCCACATGAATGGAAAAATATTGTGGTTAGTAAGGATCCTCATCATTCTTCATCAAACAAAGAGGGCGTCCGGGTGCCTGTTCAAACATAAAAGGATAGTAAAAACAGTAGTGTTTGGGAAATGGTTCCATGATGGCAACCATCATGGTGGATGAAACAAAACCCTATCGGAAGTAGTGAAAAACCAGGTTCGGATGTAGCCTACCAACGCCAACCGATGTCCAGCATCCCCTTGAGATGCCCTTTGGTTAGTTACCGCCACCGCATATGGCGGCCAAAAGCCCATTTCACCCTGGTAGGTTGACCTCCCGTGGTCATGACCCATAGCCAACCCTTCGGGAATCCGATGTCCTTCTCCGCTCCCCACCCGGAGCTGCCGGTGCTACCGGTGCGTCTTCTTCCCCCGAGGCTGGCGGTGGCCCAGTTGCCGCTCTGTTGGCTTCTGACGCCGTCGGCCGTGGCCGGCGTGACCGGCGCCGCCCTCCGATGAGGGAAACGGCCAGAGGAACGCCGGGAGGAAGCGAAAAAGGGGTGCGCTCCCCGTGGCCAAGCTCCCCATGTTGTTCGGTGGAGGTGGGGCAGGACGAGCAAGAGGCTGGAAGCCTAGAGTCTTCTATAGACAAGCGAAAGAAGATGATATGGCATAACACCAAGAAGAAAGAACATCGCCAGACTCTGCTCATTAGACAGTTCTGCCAATTAATGGAGGCGATTCGGATGAGACGCACCGGCATTTCGGTTCCGAGGTCGGGTCGGTGAAGAGTACCGGTGAAGAGCACCGTCCTCGTGCTGGGTGAAGGTAATGAGTATCAAGACAAGCACCGAGACGTAAGTCCAAACGTCGGTCATATCAAGACGGTGCTGCGTGCGGTAGGTGGCAAGGCACCCGTTTCGGTGCGGAAGATCTCTTGGGAGGAGGGTTTGCACATCGGCATGTGGTAAATCTTCGGAGTGCATGGAGTGCAAGTGGATCCAAGTCTCCAGACAGAGTTGAGGGGAGGTAACTATAAGGGAGTGGTCTTTAATCACCTCAAATTCGATGGAACCTGGTACATAAAGAGGATTCGCAGATTGACACACCCGCATGGAATCTCAAAAAGGAAGAACTTGTTTTGTAGAGCCATCCGTTTTTCAAGGCACCTTCATGCCCAACTCATCCCAACTCCATCCTCCAAACTAAGGGATAAACCTCGATCTAGTGACCTCACGGTTTTTTGGAAATCATCATTCTTAGCCAACGACATCCACTGCTGCAGTGATGGGATGGTTTTTTCACGATCCATTCAATTGCACTGGAAATGGGGGGGTCTCAGTCTCACCTTCACGTGGCCAGATCCCCGGTTCGATCCACCTCAATGAAGCCGTCCGGCCACTTGGGTCTCCCTGAACTCAGGGAAAAGCGGAAGAACCAATCCCAGGGCATGACTCAATGGCTTCTTGATGACTCAAGGTTGACGGTGAATATACAAACCCCAGTGCAAACCCCCTTCCCCCAAAAAAAAGAGGTTTGATATGGTTTCATATAGTTTCATATAGTTTCTTTGATATGTTGAAATGGTGTTTCGGGGGATTTGGAAACCGTTTGTGTTTTATGGCCTATCACCATTCTGCACCAGTGCATGGGGTTTATGGGTCTCAACCGTCAATCTGGACACAACCCATGCCACTAGGGGATACCCGCAGTGCTTGAGAAGGAGTAGGCTGAACACATTGACAGTGCCATGTAGACCCCATGTCGGTCGGCAACCCTGACAACCACTGGTTTGAAAACCAGCTCGGTGCATCGGACCCGTCGTCCCGGCGGGAACGTGTGTGGCCATGGGTCCATGTAGACGTCATGAACCAGGGCCCCCAGGCTCTTGAGATGTCCAGCAAACTGGGGGCCCTGGAAGATGATGTTCCAAGGTTGATTTCATCAAGATTCAAAGGAGCCAAACTACGTATTCGTAGTACTATTTCATCGTTCGAGTCTATGGCTCTACGGTATTCCTGTAGGACCTCTAAAAGCCTCTAGGGTTGCAACAGCTTCATGAAAGAAGGTATACTTACAAAATTAACCAGTATACTTAAGGTCTTATATCAACTCATTGACAGTGACACGTGTTTGCACCATTTCCGGCACACATGCTCATCTTGGCTCCAGAAACCTCCGGCCACACAGAACCCTTTCGCGCAAGACCAGGGTCCACAGCGACGACGCCGGACTTCGAAGTCTGTGACGGGTGCCACTCACCACACCACCACCAATGCAGAAGCCTTAAAAGCACTGAAAAGAGATCTCGTTGGAAGCGGAAGAACTCGGGTGTTTCTTCCCCCCATTCCGAGTCGTCCAGTTCCGAACTTCGGTGCACCAAAGAAAACCCCCCGTCTGTGCCCACCGAAGCATCGCTTTTCCCACAGCTCTTGGTCCGTCACTCATCCAAACTACTCCCCCCCCGCACCACTCGTGTGTCACGAGTTCCGGACGTCCACGGGACTCTAAATGGGGCCTGCGGGGCCCGCGATCGATGGCCCGGCGGAGAAGCTGGTGAATGAACTCCAGCAGAGCCGGAAGATGCAGATGATCGACCATCTACAGGTGCCGCAGATGCGCGTCCGGCGCTCGACTCGTCACGGACGCACCGTGGTTTGTGCGGCGCGGACGTTGGGGCGGAGTGGCGTTTGAGCGGTTTGCAAACGGCTTTTTTGTTTGGTTTTGCCGTGGCGGTGTGTGACAATTGTTGAATCGTTCAAACTGGGAAAAAGCTTGCTCTTTGGGGGCAGAAGAGTTGAGCTGAGTAGAAAGCGCCACAGATGGTTTGGTATATATTCATGTATTGATAAGTAGCGCTTTTCTATAGTGGGTGGTTTCGGAAGCGCTTATCCAAGCGGCGCAGTGGCACCAGCAGAAGGTGAGAAGAAGCAAGATGCAGAGGCACCAGCAGCAGTTGTGCGTTCCTCGCTGACAGTTAGAAATCGGATGCATGTCCAAGAGAATGACCAGAAAATGTTCAGTTTCAGGTTCGCAGCCACTTCTTGTTGTCATTTGACAAGAAGTCACCAACCCTTCAGAAACCTGTGAGCTGGTAGGTGTCAGCGTTGGTGTCGCGTTAGAGAGACATGTCCGTTAGAGTGGGACCCCAGGCTTGGATTAGGTCTGCTGGACAGTGTCCTTCAGACTGTGACGGATTCATTTTTGCTGGGCATTGGTTTGTTGAAGCCCGCGTGATGAGCCGGGCATTGCCTTGTCCATAAGATTGAGCGCTTGAAGGCCCTGACAAATGCGTGCGTTGACTTGGAAAAAAGAAGCCGCGAAAGCACTCAAAGCACCAGCAGGTGCAATGGCTGGATTGGACTTTGGATTAGACTCCCAGGAGGCGGCGGCTGATCATCAAAACCCCCCGGCCCTGGCGTCGACGTGAGTCGAAGGCGTCGACGTGAGGTGGCAGTGGCTTCGGAGGAATCACACCCACCGGGTGAAGTCAGGATCAAACCTGACGGGAGTGAAGCACCATGGACGATAGCCCGAGCCTCACCGCATTTCTGAAGCCAAGATGGCGGCGAAGAAGTGCGGAGAAGTATTTCCACGGCACCCCGCTCGTTTGTTTGCCCGGAATCCTGATCACTGGCATTCACAGACATCCTTCAGGTGGCAAGCACGAGTTTACAACGTCTGGCAAAAAAAACGTCACAGATGCTTGGACAGTGGCGCCCGGCGTCTACGCCACGCCTACCAGGCAGTTCCCAGCCTGCGATGGAAGCGATTGATGAGAGCTGGCAGCCAGTGCTTGGGCGCCATACGTCCGATGCATCCTTACCCTCGTGACTACTAGACGACGGATGGACCGAGAGCGTTGAGATGTAGAGTTACTTTGGTGTAAGGTTACGATGAAACAGTAAAGTCAAGAGGGTTGTGGGGTGGTGAGAGAGAAAGTGAAAGAGATGGTGAGAAATGGATAGGTGCAAGAGGATCCCTGGAGGAGGGAAGCAAAGATGTCTTCCAGTCGGTGTTCATGTATGTGTTTGTGCGGTAAAATGGTCGGATTCAGGCCCTGCCCCAAAGATGTCTTCCAGTCGAAGCTTAACGAGCAATAGAATGTATGTTTTCAAGCCGTGCCCAAAAGATGTGTTCAAGGCGAAGCAGGCTGATGTTAAAGGTTTACAAGAACAAAATTTGTGGTTTCAGGACCTGCAGTTTGTGACACTTGACACGCATTTCGTGCGCAAGGGCTGCATTTCCTGGTGCCTCGTGTGCACTGCCCCCGGCCTAAGAAAGAAAGACAATATTGAGGAAAAGAGACGGAGAGGGAGAAGAGAGAGAAGGAGAGAGACAGAGACAGAAAGAGAGAGAGGGAGAAGAGAGAGGATCATCCGAAGGATGCTAAGGAGCAGAGGGATCATGCCAAGAAGATTAGCTAGGAGATGTTGGCTTCAACATATTGCTTGCCACCCATGACGTGGAGTGGTGTTTCGAGTGTGGACCAGGAGCAAACACAGAAATGCGGAAGAAAGGGACATGGTTCTCACTTGCTGGCTGCCAGAGGAGGCATCCCTTGCTTGAAACAGATGTTCTGGAGGCTCAACACATTCAATTGAGTTTTGTACATGGCTCACAGGAGTGATGTTGCAAAAGGGTTGACATGCAGTAATGGGCAAGCTGCTGTTCTACACCATACATTGCACAAGGCAACTGGTGATTCCAGAGTTGTGGAGGTTGCTCACCAAACAGGGCCTGATTTGATGAAGGATGGAAGGCACAGCAGTGTGCCAAATACTATCAAATACTTCAATCTACTTTGGAACCTTGCAGTCTGATCCATGTGGACGCGCAAGAGCTGGTGTTCCAACAGAAGAATTGGCGGAATGCGCAGGTGAAATACCGTATGAACCCCAGGAACGACCAACTTGATGCAGGTCTTCAGCAAATGATGAGGGGCAGAACTGGCAAAAACTGGTATCCATCACCTGCACCTGTTGGCTGCTACAGAGTGGATGCTTGCGTTTTGAAGGGGGACCATCCTGGTGCAGCACTAGAGGATGCTTGGTTCTCCTGCACTGCTGGCAGGCCTGGAGACATCATTGCCCGCTTTTGCAACTTAGACTATGTGGAGGCTTCACACCAGATGGAACTGCAACTCTTCTTATGAGACCTAGCAGGTCATTCTTGGAGTGGATCACTTTCACAGCTTGGGAGGGCTTGGGAGGGCTGAGACGCATCAGGTCAGTGGCTGCCTTGCCAATGGTTGGCGGTTGTGCTGCAGGCCACGCAACGGGTCTTTCTTGGTGTGCACCCTTCGTGTTCAGAGCTAAGGCTGAAGAGGTTTGTTGCTGCTCTGGTTGTCGGCCACTGGCAGCAAGAGAATTGGCAGATTGATGGAGTCTGTACTTCTCTCGCCATAGGTCAACCAATTGATGCACGCGCTTGGATGTATGGCACCTGGACGCTTTTGGAGGCGGTTTTCGGCATGCATCAAATCAATGTCCCGCATCGTGGAGCCTGGAATTCCTTCATGAAGAAAGGCACCAAGACTGAGGTTGCCCCGGACTACTTCCACCATCTTGGTGATGATGAATGGGAGCGTCTCACGGTCCTCCATGCCCCGGTCAAGATGATGAAAGAAGCAGGTCAAGAGGCTTGCTCAAGAAAGGGCAAGGGCTGAGCATCCGGCCGAGAGTTTGGCTGCGGACGAGCGGTGCCTGCTGATCTACAAGCATGCGGCCATTCGCGTCGATGCCATTCTCAAGGACAAGCAAGCAGCACTACATGCGGCAGGAAGAAGGGGCGGTTGTTGTGAAACACCAAAGTGCAGAGCCCAAGTAGAAGTCTTGTTAGGCCAGGACAGATGGGCACCTTCTGCCATGGGTGTCAGGTGCGAGACTTGCCATCGCCGCATCAAGAGCTGTGCAACTTTGGCGGAGACGCAGGCCAAAGATGATGAACGATCACCGGGCAGGTTGAGCAATCCTTAGCCTCCACGCTCCAGATGGTGACTGACATGGAGTATCTTGCAGATGACGCTCCTGGTCACAGGTGGCAGCAAACGATGTTGGATCAAGATGCCCCACAAATGCAGCAAACAGGCCTTGCCTGAGTTGTAGACTGTCACATGTGTGTGTGGGCTGATGGAAGAGGAGTCCTTGGACATCCGTGGAAGGCTGCGTTCTTCACATGCACTAGTGCGCCATGAGTGCAGTCGGCGTGGTAAGCACACCAGGGGTTTGCGGATGGCAAGAGTCGCTGCTGAATGCAAGGTGGCCAAAGGTCAACAGACCCTGGGGTTTGGAAGTTCCTCGTCTTGAGATGAGGACAGCCACTTTTGGGCAAAGTCGCGTGGCTTGAACAGCAGAGGGAAGGAGCCGACCCAAAATGTAGAAGAGAGAGAATATGAGAGAGAGAAAGACAGAGATGTGAAGATATGCATGTCTGGATATGTGCAGGTGTGAAGACGTGCAGACGCGCATGTTTGGATATGTGCAGATGTGAAGATGTACATGTCTGGAGTTCTACAGGCGTGAAGATGCACACGTCTTGATATGTGCAGGTGTGAAGATATGCATAATACGGATGTAAATCTTGATAATATGTAATTCAATATTTCTTTTTCTCCATTTCGCTCTTGTGTTAGAAGAACTCTTCGCCCCGACGCTCTTGGGAAAAACTAGTGAATTTAATGTTTTATTCCCTAGTTTCCGAATCCGCCGCTCAAGTTTAAAAATCCGTTGTTGACCTAATAAAACTTTCGGGGTGATCGAGCAGCACGTTGCCCAAGTTTTGCCAGACTTTCCAGGCACTCAAAGCTGGCACTACACCGGCATCTTTTGAAGAGACAACCGAAAAATAGAAGTTCAGGAATCCCCCACACCGCCGTTGTGATTGCACTGCCTTCGCTACCGATCCCTGAAATCCAGAAGAATCAATCCCGCTGGCCATCGTGTCTCATCTCCAACACCCACTGGTCGCCCACCGCTGCCGCAGCAGCTGTCTCGAACGATCCGCGTGTCGGCAGCGGCGGCGGTTCTGGTCGAACGGCTCTCCGTGGCTCCAGGCGAAGCTGTTGGAAGATCAACGGCGAAGCCTGAAACATTTCGAATGCGTGCAGAGTGGTCTCAGTGCCTTCGGCGGAGGGGAGCGGGGCGATGGAAAAGGGGTTTGGTGGTGACCGCTGGTGACTGGTGGTTCTTGTAGTGAGTGACTCTGGTGGCTGATCTTGTGGATGTGAGTTGTTTTTTCAGATCTTTGACAGCAAACCAAAGCTGCAAACCTGTAGTTATGGCGCTTGACTCTTGCATGCATATACTTAGACCAGAACTACCCTGCAACTCACCAACATCAAAAACATGGAAGTAGAACAGCACCTGTTTGTAAAAGAAACACATCTTGTCAGGGATCATGCCAACTCCACTTCTATGTGACGTGTTCACCGGCTCATGTTTTTGCCTTGGATTTAACTCGGAATTTTCTTCAGCCGGCATGGTCTTGTAAACACCATTTTGCTCATGTTCAGCGACTATTCAATCTTCTCCTAGTCGTTTTCACGCGTAGTCATCCGGGACAGCAGATGAACCACGTAGTCGTCCCCCCGCGTCCCCACAACTTCATTCTTTGCCGTTCCCGCCTCAGACATGCTCAGACCCGAAAATCGACCGCCGGTCACCGCATCCGGCACGATGGGCCTTTCAAGACCTGAACCGACTTGGGACTCACATGACTCAGCACCTGAACCGACCTAGCCTGATGGCCTGACCCATCGCGTGACTCTCAGGCATCATGCGGGCGGGCGCCATGCGCTCCCGACCCCAGACCTCTCCGGCGGGCGGCATCGTCAAGCAGACGGCGCGGGGAAGCACCGGGGTAGGTGGAACTGTGGGTGAAAGACTGAAAGCGAAGAAGTTCAAGATGTTGGTCAAATGCCTGATGTTTCTTGGGGTTGTGGGCTTTTGGGTTGAGGGTGTTGAGGGTGTTGGTGTTCCTGTCTTTTTGAATGCCCTTCAGTTGTAGGCAAGTGTTGCGTATAACTGTAGATACCAGCGGTTCCATAGGGGTGCTTAATGCAGCCTATAGGACTTTGGGGTAATTGTAGATACACAAGGAGTTGCAAGTGTTTCTTCTTGGCTGGCCAGAATCATTCCCCTCGTGACCGTGGATTTTGAAGGGTGCAGCAGCCAGTCTTGTCACTTCATATGGGGCACCAGACAGCTTTCAAAAGGCCACCGTAGGAAGAGGTTTTTTGAACCTCAACGGGGGCGGGGGGGCTTACTAATCAAGTATATTATAGATGTATGTGTTTTTGAATTTGTATACAAATGTCAAACGAGGATGCAGACGATCAAAAGATCCCACGCAACCTGCAACCATTCCAGAGAAGGGGGTGAGACACATGACAATATGAACGGATGAGTCATTGGACGGTCATGCAGGGTTGTTGATTGACTCAGTCTTCGGGTCATGTTTGGTTGACCAAACACCACGTTCTTCGGAGCTGTACTTGGACATTGCATTGTTCTCATCCACGTCGTCACTTCCTCCGTGCACCATTCAAAGCTCAATGCCCCCAAACTCAAATTCGGCCCCAACCAAAAAAACAATACCTCGACTGCTACCAGGCCGCGGGACATCCCGCCTTGCGCTGCTATCGCAGCTTCGAGATGTATATCCCCTCCCCCAGCTCCACCGCCCCCAAGGACGAACTGTCCCCCTGGCTTCTTCCCCCGTGCGCAGCTCCACGGCCGCCAGCACCGGCTTCGCAACTCTGCACGCCGCCGATCCCGGCCACGTGCCGCCACCGCGTGCGAACGACGCGTCCGCGTCCGCGCACGGACGGCGCAGCTCGCAGGCGCAAGAGTTGGGGCTGCAACGGCTCTCCTTTACCGAGACGTTGCGCCAGGAGGTCGAAGCCTCCAGGCGGACTGGGCAGAGCGCGCCGGGCGCGGGCTCCGCCGCGCTCCAGGGGGGGGTGGACTGGAGCTCAAACCACTGGACATCCATATTTGGTTGTTGGCGTTTCAACATGTTTCGGGTCGACCTGATTGAAGCTAACATCTTAAAACCACAGGTTTAATGTTCAACATGTGATTGAGCTCTTCTTGGGAGCGTGATGTACCCAGTCAGAACTTCTAGTTTAATTTCCCGTCACGCTTTATTGATTGCCCAACTCGTTGTAACCAAAAAGTATCAGATTGAGCCGCAACATTCTCTTTAGTTAAGAAAGACCGCGGTGACACCGAAAACAAGTCGAATTCTTCAGACCGGAGCCATCCGCAGGGTCTCGTGTGGCATCCGCGGCAGTGTGGAGCTCCCGAGCCACGTGCCGAGCCTTGGCGAAAAGGAAGGTCGCCCGAGCTGAAAAGGACACTGGCCAAGGTGTATCTTGGCATGTAGTGTAGAAGTTGTAAAGGAATCTGTAGAATCAGTGTGTACCTGATTCTACAGATTCCATGTATAGAAGGGTGAGTTATAAGTTAGGAGGAAGCCCGGGTGGAGCGAAGTCCGGTGTCTTCCCGTGAATTCGTCCCATGAGGAACTGACGAGCCTGTAGCGAACCCCCGTCCCAACCCAGAAAGAGTTCTGGATCTCTCCGAGTCCCAGACAGTGTCCCAGACATGTCCGGAAAGCCTCTGAAACGAAAAACCCAAAACCACACTCCAGGAGTCACAAAGGGGTGCCTATTGGAGGTTAGGGGTGCCCAGAACATCCACTCACTGGATGGGACCAAACACCACCCCGACATGTGACCCCTGGCTGTTTCTGTTTCTGGTTGTTTTTGGCTTGCAGGCCCCAAATGCGACCCTGCCAAGAAGACGAGGTTCATTCCACCTCCGTCTGTAAAACCATGGTAAAACCACCTTGCACGAGGGTCCCTCTACTCGAGATTAAAAGGTGTTGGGTTCCAGGCCCATCCACCAGGAATTTCTAGAGCAACGTCTTATTTGACTGTTGATGTGTTTGGGTAAGAGCCCTATGTTTGTATACAGAAAAACCGAGGGCCTCTTGTGTGTTGATCCGTTACCCACCGAAAGCCTCATCCCAAGGGTTCATGGGCGTTCATGGTTTCAGAACATGGCGCGCACGGATCGGACGCATCCCATGCAACCGGGTTCGGACCAAAACTTCGCATGGGTTACCCAGTGACCTTTCCTCTCAGTGCGCAGAAGCAGTTCGGGTTCGGAGGCGACCATGGTGACGAAATGGTGACGAAAGAAACTTGTATAGTATAGAAGACCTGTCAAGTAGATGCAAGAAATAGGTCCCTTCCTTCCCCACCCTTTATTGACGGGGCCAAGGACCTGACCTTCTCTCCATCCTCAGGATGGCGCAGATCCCCGAGCAGCCGGAGCTCGAGCGCCCCAAGACCTCGCCCGCCGCGCCCGTCACGGCGCCGCCCACCGCGGCGGCGCCCGCGTCGCCGGCGCCGACGTCGCCCTCGGCGAAGAGCGACGGCGCGGGGTCGCGGCCTCGGTTCGGGAGAGGGTGAGTGGGCAGACTGGGGGTGGACTGGAGAAAGAGACGCCAAAAGCCCATACTACAGGGGTTGTTCCTCTTTTTGGATCTATATACTATGGATCTTGGGCCAGGATGAGAATGGTACCATGTTGCTATAGTTATACTGTCCGATATAAAGCTAATCTTGGGGAGCAAATGGTCTCAGAGCAGTTGCCGCAACCCCCAAACAAGCTAACCAACTTACAACCATCTCCAGGTGGTCCCCACAATGCCGCCAAAACTTCCAGCCTCCAAATAAAGCAAGTCCGGCCAAGCCTGATTATGTCAACTTTCCTGCTGAAGAGATGGAGGCAGGCAGGCCCTGCAGGCGCCAATAGGACGGGATGTACACTTGCAGTCACTGTGGTTTTCGAGGCCTGTCGAACTGGAGGTGGACCCTTTGTTCCCCAAACAGTGTGGACACACTAGTGGTTCTTGCAGTGGTCGTGAAGCACCGGTGTTAGATTGAGGTGTTGCACCGACGTGTCCGGCTAATCTGCTGCTATTTCCAGTGCATTCATACTGCGCAGGCTCGCGAATTCTGGGTGGCGGCGGCGGGTGCTTGTCGTGACTGCTCTCTCGTTGTCGTGCTGTGCGCATTTTTGGACATGGTGGCCACTTTTCGTGGCAGGCGCAAGGAAACCTCGTATTTGGTGACCCAAAGTCGACTTTTCATGACAGGTGCAGTGAATCGTGACTTTTCTGCATGCGGCTCATTTGCAGATTTCGTGGCAGGCGCAGCACCTTGTGAAACTCGACGTGCGGATTTCGTGGCAGGCACTCACTCACTCCACTCCACTCCACTCCACTCCACTCCACTCCACTCAACTCACTCACTCACTCACTCACCACTCACTCCCTCGCTCGCTCACTCACTCACACTCACACTCACACTCACATTCACGCTCACTCACTCACTCACTCACTCTCGCACTCACTCACTCACTCACTCTCTCCCACTCTCCCACTCTCACTCACACTCACACTCACACTCACACTCATTCACACCCACTTACTCACACTCACTCACTCTCACTCACTCTCACTCTCACTCACTCTCGTGCACTCACTCACCACTCACTCACTCGCTCGCTCACTCACTCACTCACTCACACTCACACTCACACTCACACTCACACTCACACTCACACTCACTCACTCACTCACACTCACACTCACTCTCACACTCACACTCACATTCACATTCACATTCACATTCACATTCTCACTCACTCGCTCACTCACTCACTCACTCCCTCGCTCGCTCACTCACTCACTCACACTCACACTCACACTCACATTCACACTCGCTCACTAACTCACTCACTCACTCTCCCCCACTCTCACTCTCACTCACACTCACACTCACACTCATTCACACCCACTCACTCACACTCACTCTCACTCTCATTCACTCTCGCGCACTCACTCACCACTCACTCGCTCACTCACTCTCACTCTCACTCTCACTCTCACTCTCACTCTCACTCTCACTCTCACTCTCACACTCACACTCACACTCACACTCACATTCACTCACTAACTCACTCACTCACTCTCTCCCACTCTCACTCTCACTCACACTCACACTCACACTCACACTCATTCACACCCACTCACTCACTCTCACTCACTCTCACTCTCACTCACTCTCGTGCACTCACTCACCACTCACTCGCTCGCTCACTCACTCACTCACTCACTCCCTTGCTCGCTCACTCACTCACTCACTCCCTCGCTCGCTCGCTCACTCACTCACTCACACTCACACTCACACTCACACTCACATTCACACTCACTCACTCACTAACTCACTCACTCACTCTCTCTCACTCTCACTCACAAAACGCTCCTGCTCAAGGCGCCAATTGGTTTGCGAGCTGCTCATTGCTGGTACATGCCTCATGAAGTCCCTGGGGTTTTTAGCAAACTGCTCCACCAATGTCAAGGGTTTGGTCAAGAAGACATTGAACAGGCCACAGAGGCTGTCAGCCGCATGCCACTGGGGCGCACCTGGTTTCGACCAGAAGGCGTAGCTGCCACGTCCCCTTTCGGAATTGCATTGCAGAAAACCTATCGCAGCCTATCGCGGGTAGACTTGTCCCTACCTGAGGGACTGTTGATAGGCCTTGGCTATGCAGCCACGAACCCTGACAGCCCTCTGGATTTTCACCAAGCGCAGAGCGCAGCAGAACGATCTGGAGTTGCAGGGCAGCACCAGTGGAGCATCATGCTGCCCACCAGTGCGCGAGTTTCACAAGAGGTATACGGGCCCCTAATAGGCATTCAGTACCCAATGCTGTGCAGCCGCGTGCAAGATACTTGGCAAATCGGCACTGCCTCCATTCGAGCAGACCACTGTGTCGCCACGGGTCTCCGGTTTGTCAATTGGTGTCACGCTTCCCAGAGTGATGAGGCAGTGAATCACCCGCAGGGCAACCAAACTGTCCTCGCCTATCAACATCTTGAAGATGAGTTGACAAGAGCGGAAGCTGGGAGTGACGCGGTGCTGGCACTCACAACCAGGCGAATGCCGAAACAGCAGTCAAAGTAGCCGGAGCCACTGCAAAGCACTGCATAGTAATCCATGGACGAACATCATTCCTTAGTGGTAACGGGTGGAATGCTGACTTTGACATGGAATGTTATACACGAGCAAATGTTGCCTATAGCCGTGCCACCGATCTCACGATCCTTGCATGTCCGGTTAACATGCATGGTATGCCAGGGGCGCTGCAAGTGCTCGCTACCCTCCTACATGGAGTCCAGACCATACACACAAACGATTCCCTCAAATTGACCGCAATTGGCGCTCTGAAGCTGGACGCAAGCCAAATCAGTGATGCCACGCCAGGCGGCCCTGATGCCACACGAGCTGTGGATCGGCCCGTTACCAGTCTGCCTGGCAGAGTACCATGAATGAAGGGTGAGACGCTTACGCCTCGTCCTCACAGCTAAGTCCCACCTGCTAGCTGCTGAAACCGACTACCTACAGGACGGGCCCCACCTCCCTGGCAACAGTGCAAAACATGGCCTCCTCTGTGGGTATGCCCTTGATGCTTGCCCGCACCCGGAATGGATCGTTGTGCCGGATAGTCGGCAGCAGGGAATGTGCCGACTGCTCCACAATAGCAAGGACCCAGGACGTCGGTGCAGCGTAGGGTGCTCCCAGAGGTATCAGCCCCAGCAAAGCGCTGGTCAGAGCAGAAAGGCGCAGGCCTACTGTTTTCGCGCTCGCACTCGCACTCGCACTCTCACTTGTTTATTTGTTGTTGTGCGTTGTGGTCATGTGTTTGTGGTTGTGTTTGCAGTTGCGTTTGTGATTTTGTGTTTGTGGTTGCGTTTGTGATTGTGGTTGTGTTTTGTGGTTGTGTGTTTGTGAATGCTTGTTTGTGTTTGTGGCTGTGTTGTTTTGAGTGCGTTTGTGCTTGTGATTGTGCTTGTGGCTGTGTTGTTGTGATTGTGCTGTTTTTGTGTTTGTGGTCTTGTGTGTTTGTGATTGTGTTTCTGGTTGTGAATGTGGTTGTGTTTTGCGGCTGTGCGCTGGTGATTGTTAAGTTTGTGGTTGCGTTTGCGTTCATGTGTATGTGGCTGCGAGTCTGTGATTGTGTGGTGGTGGCTGTGCGTTTGTGGCTGTGTGTGTGTGTTTGTGATTGTGTGTGTTTGTGGTTGTGGTTGTGTTGATTGCGTCTGTGATTGTGTTTGTGTTTGCGATTGTCAAAGGTGTAGTATAGTGAAACATGCAGTTGATGCAGCGTGGCAGTTGCTTCAAAAGAGCTTGTTGTCGATTTACGTTTTATACTTGCATGCACCTGTGCGTGTTATGTTCGCGAAGCTCTTCTGAAACCTGTGGATTGTCACGGGTGTCCAAACGTAAGACCGTAAGATATAGTCTTACATGTAAAGTCTGATTTCTTACACTAAAGCTCAAGAAGATCGGAACATCAGCGTGGAACACAAATTGTAGACATGTTGGATGACACATTTTAAGCAAGACTTGTGGACGAATGCTCGAAACATAACTTGCCAGATTTAAATCTATATGTATTAATGATGCTGACTACGACGACGGTGAAGATGGTGATAACGATGATGATTATTGTTATGATGATAAGTGAGATGTGCACAAGGTTGGCATGTGTGTTGTGGTTGTGTGTTTGTGATTGTGTGTTTGTGATTGTGGTTTTGTGCTGTGGTTGTGTGTGTTGCGGTTGTGTGTTGTGTCTTTGTGGTTGTGTGCTTGTGGTTGTGTGATTGGGTTTGTGGTTGTATGTTTGTGGTTGTGTGTTGTGTCTTCGTGGTTGTGTGTTTGTGGTTGTGTTTTTTGTTTGTGTGTTGTTGTGGTTTTGTGTTGAGGTCTGGTCTGTTGAGGTCTGTTCGTGCCCACTGCGATCTGGCGCTTGCTGTTGAGGTCCGAGACTGCCCACTGCGATCTGGCGAAATGGAGCCAGACAGTGCAAATCCACTGGAGATCAGAAGGTGGTTGGTTGATGCGTGCAAGACATGCGGGTCCCAGGTGCAAAAAAGCACACGGTGGGACTGGGTGGCAGCGACTGGAGGGTCCTGACCAGAGGAGGTACGCCAGAGCGGCGGGAGATCGTCGAGAGATTGAAAGGAGGCCACTTTCCATCGCCTCGTCGTTGAGCAAACTGATCCTGAGGCAATCGCTGAGCTTGAACAAAAGCTTGAAGACGATGAAGACGGCAGGCGCTGCATGGGCACCGAACTGGGCGGTGTGGGAACCCCCCCTGTCTTTGGATCACGGATGGTCACAGAAGTGCGCGTTTCAAAAGACAGGGGTGTTGAATGGTTTTGACGTGCCAGGCACAACAGGTCTACAAATTCAAACGAATGTGTGTTGAAGGCTGACTAGTTGCATCGCCGCATCGCTAATCCTGTAGTTTGAGCAGTCGACGGTGTTTGAGGGGTCTTGCAAGACCCATCACTTGGAGTAGTTTGGATGGTTTGACCGTGGATTACAAGATCAAATATGTGGGTCAGAACAGTTCAAAGCTTCCATTATTGTGTTTTTGGAATATGCCCAGTGGGACCTCTTCGGGGTATACCCCAAACCATCCCAAACCCATCTCCTGGTTTTGTTGTGTGGAGAAAGGTGATGTGATGTGTTTATTCACCCGGAACATGGTGCATGCCCTTCAACATCCCTGGGAACAAATCCCACCCATGCCGCAACGAAGTGACTGATGTTTGATCTCGAGCCCCGACTGGATTGCACACCGACTTGGCCACGACGAAGATTCCGGTCGGAACAGTCTGGGGGTTCTTGGAGCAAGAGCCTGATATTTCGACCTATGTAATGTAGTTGGCTAGTCCGTGGAAGAGTTAAACACCCCTTTTCTGAAAAACATTGAAGACGGCGATAAAACCATGGTTACCAAAGAGAGAGAGATTCATCCAATTAATACGGCGCTTACCCTCCCTGAAAGAATCCATAGGCTTGCAAGGAGGATACGTGGATGGCACCCCCGGAAGTGACTTGTCGGCTTGTGTTGGGCCCTTCTCTTTCCTTCGGGCCATGTCTTCCCCACGGCAAGCATCGAAGGTCGAAATGCGAAGAAGGGTATCCCACACACGACCTGCTTGGGACTGCCAGTCCGACATGCCGCTCCAAACAGACCCCTCTGGCACCACCACCCCTCTGGCACCACCACCACCACCACCACTCCTATGAGTCGGGTATGCGTCTAAACAGTCCATCGTCCGGTCGATCGGGGGGGAGCGGTGGCGGAGAAGGGTTGGTTGCTTGGGCCGAGGTTTAGAGGACTGACATTTCAAGAGATTGATTGATGCTTGGTTTTTCTTGTGTTTTTCTGAGTGGGGACATTGTTTGCTCAGAGTGTGCTCTTCCAAAGAAGTGTTTTGGCGTTAAGAGATGTGAAACGTGATTTCAAGCCGCTGCAGCACTTGTGGCAGTTCTTTGGGAACAAAGTACTTAAGGCTCGAGTTCCTATTCAAGAATACGATCGAGATGCAAGCAGTCGTTGGCATATCCTAAACAGCGTGGATGTTTCTTGTGGTTTCCATGCGAAAACCGGACACCTCCCCGAGCGACGGTCCAGCGGCGCCTCGAGTCCACAGAGGCACCGTGAAGTTCAGAGGGAGCGGCTCGGGCGGCGGCAGTGGGCCACTGGGGGCCTCTTGGATGCACGTGTTTTGGGCATGATGCCGGAGGCGTGCGTGGCGGGTGGCTACTTTGATTTTGAGAAGGGAAACAAACGGTATTCAACCGTGAGAAACCACCCTAATGGCCTTTGGGCCAGCTTTTCTTCCAGGCTTCCAATGTCTTGGCATCGGTTTCGGGAGGTCGACTGAACGACGACCTCGTTAGCATCTCATTCCGACGTGGACCCGACGGTCGAATGGCTCATTCCGACGGCTTTCCTCTACAAAAAGGGGCGGTCGCTTTTGTCGCCGTGAGTTGATTCAGAGGCTCATGTGCTCGTTTCGTTGCCCGTAAAAAGGGGCGTCGCTTGTGCGAGATGAGACCGTCAGTCCCATGTCTTCTCAGCGAACGAAAAACTGAGACTGACGGTCTCATGAGACTGACACATTGCGGAGAAGCAACGTGTACTCTTGTTTGACGATGTGCGGTTCGCAAAATGTCCAGCAAAGGAACCCTCACTGTTTGCAATATGCATGGTTTGACTAGATAGATTGAGCATTAGTTGCAAAAAACATAAGTATGATTCTATAGCTAGTTTACCAGTGCAATTGAAAAAGCAAGAAGACGATGTTCAACCTGACAATTGTTCGAGAAACGACCAATCACACCATGTTTCGAAACAACTAGTGACTACCTTGAACCCGTTTGACCTGTTTTTTGAAAAGATAATCTTTTCGCTCCAAAACAGGGGTCGATCAGGTTCTAGGTACATATTATATATTGAAAACTTTTTATAAAAGAAGATGGAAGTGTCAGGTGGCCGCAAAAGCTGGAAACAGACGAGTCTCAGACGGAACTTCTGATGGGGTCTGTCCATGTGTTCGAGTTGGCTTCAGCCCATCACCAGGCCGTGGCCGGAGCCCCACAACAGGTGAACCAACCCGTGGCGCCATGTCGGACAGTTGGCCCTGAGGCTCCCTGGTCCTTCCGACCGTCCAAGACGTCCAATACGATCCCACTCCCTCGGAAAAAAAAAAAAAAAACAGTCCCAACCAGAAACAAATGGTTGTTCCAATATGGCTTGCTTGAAATCCTTTACAGCACGGAAATGGTTGGGACTGGGGAAACATCCATTTCTTTCTGGTTGGGACTGGGGTTCCAGGCTGGAGCCTCACCGGCGGAACTTTCCGTCCGTGGGAACTTCCGTCGGTGCAGTGGGTCGATGGTGTTCCTGCTACGGTCGCATGGATCGGATCGGTCGCAGGTGAAGGACCGTGACATGAGGTTCTTGGCACTTGGATCGAACGGCGTTGGGGTGTGTGACTAGGTGTTCCTATAGGTCCGTTCGTAAACCTGTAAGAGGAAGGGTTAAAAGATGATGTCACGACTTTAGAGATGGAAAGGCCTGCAACTGAGAAATCCTCCACTGGGCCCTGCTTCACTAGGATTAATTGCCCAAGTATACCCAATTAGTTTGCGGTTTTCTTTTCCGTTCCAAACGGATCCGGCTTTGCACTGCCCGTTGCTTCCAAACGAAGGCATAGGCCCTGGCATGTTGACCGTTCACCACCGTTTTTGGCAGAGAAAAAGGCTAAGAATCGCCTCCCCTCCTAACAGCGGTGGCCTCCAACCTAAAAGGAATGGCCTCCAACCTAGAAGCAATGGCCTCCCCGCCTCCCCTCCTAACAGCGATGGCCTTCAAGCTACGGAGAAGAACACCCAGGTCAGTTGGAACGACGAAGAGGAGGAATTCTGTCGCTTCCACGAGGAGTTCCCGAACTCCCCACTTCGTCCGGACGCTGTGTTCGCGGGACGGTGTTGGTGGGACCGGGACGTGGCGTGGTCGGCCGGTGTCTTTTTCGGATCCCCTTCGGAGCCAAGCGAGTTGTTTGGGGACATCAAGAGATTGAAAGGCACAATCCACCAGGTTGAAGGAAGAGATGATCCTTTTGATCTTTTGCAGTTTCTTGTTGTATTTGGATTGAGGATATGGGGGGTCTAATTTCAGTCTTGGGAAGCCTGGAATCGGGTTGGTGTTCTTTTCCTGAAAGTAGTTTCCAAAAAGCTATGGCAAGAGAAGGAAACAGCCGTTCACCAGGCTTTGTGCGATCCACTTGGTTGAACCTGGTCTCCGGTTATTCACCGTGCCTTGATTGATGAGTTCGTGATGGGGTTTAGCGTGGGCCCCCGTTTTAAGTTGCATCCCGAAGTAGGCCAAAGTGGGGCCCAAGGTTGACAAAGTGACTCATAAAGAACCCCCTGGCAGACTTCTGTTACAGTTTTAAAAGTGTTAAGTCAACAATGTGGTGAAGATTGTCTATGAGGTGAGCACCGACGAGGACGATGGCTTCGATGAGGATCAAGCAAAGGCCATAAATTTCCTCATGCTGCAGCTTGGGCGGGTTCCATGAAAGCTCGATGTCTCGGGCCGAGGTTGAAGAGCTCTCCTGATCAGAGATCGGATTCATCTACGAAGGATGCAGCTACGTCAGGGACATGGTGAGCCATACAGAAAGGCAATCGGCGTCAGGGCCGAGTGGACCTAGTGGCGCTCCCTCCACTTCTCTGGCTGATATGTCCTCGATCGGGCATGCTGCATGGGGCCTCTGGTGGTCTCATGGGGCCCCTTCAGCTACCATGCTGGGTGATGTGCCTACAGGCGCTTTATCTCGCTTTATGCATCGATCGTCGCAAGAGCTGGACGCCCGGACACATGTGGGGTTTGCTGCATCCTCTGGAGGCTGCGGGGCCAGCCAGGTTCAGGCTCAGCACTTCATCGCCCTCGTGATGTGATACTTGCAGCAGAAGCAAGCGAGATGAGAATCCTCCGTCCAGCTTTCGCAGCCATCAAGGCCGTCCACATGAGAGCATTTGCTCAAGCTTTCAGAGCTGCGGCTATCGAAGCGTCCGAGCACCGAATGCTTCGCCCAGCTTCGGAGTGGCGTATCTCTGCCGCAGTCTGCGACGCGACGGAGGGGAAAGGCGTCAGTCCGATGCTGACTCCGACCGCGGACCCCCCGCCTCCATGCGGACCGTCATCTGTCTAGTGCTCGGTCGTTGACGGGAGGAATGTGCAAGGCCGGGAGAATGGAATAAATCTCTTTACAAACGGGTTGACAAGGTTGGCAGTCCATGTCCAGGTTCCACCAGGTGAATTATCGGCGGCCGGGAGAATGGATGGCTCCCACTCGTTCGCCGTCATGGCCATCGATACATGTTGGATCATATGTTGGTGAGGAAGAGGCCAAGACCTGGACCTCCGGATCTCGACCTGTGAAATCTCTAGGCCTTGCGACCTGTTGATTGTATAGGCGTTGATCTCAAGATCTCTAGATCTCTACTAGACCTCCAGACTTCTAATAGACCCCGACCCCTGGGATTTCTAGGCCTCAGATCTACAGACATTGATATCTCCTTAGATCTCAAGGGCTGGTTCTTGAGATCCTCAGAACTCTGGACCTCTAGATCTCCGCTAGAGCTAGAGACCTCGCCAGACCTAGAGCTTCCAGACCTAGCCAGATCTCTCTCAAGACCTCGCCTTCAGATCTATAGACCTCTAGATCTCTTTGGATCTCAACAGCTCTAGGCTTCTAGCTCTGATCTAAACCTCTACACCTAGCCAGATCTAGATCTGCCTGGCCTCTAAACATATTTAGATCTTGTGGACTTCTAGATCATTTTGGATTTCAAGACCTAAATTGATCTGGAGACTCCAGACCTTTGAATCTCTCTGGAACCCAATACGTCTAGATCTCTAGACCTTCTGTTCCTGCGCCTCTGGACCTTAGACCTCTAGGCATTGTTTGAGGTCTCTTGCGGGGATAAACAGCACAGAAATACTGCCATCCAAAAGACTTGAAAAAAGGAAAACTAAAAGACTTGAAAAAAAAAAAAGAACTCAACTACCCGCACAATTCCTATCTTCCTTACATACCTTTCTTTAAAACTCCAGTAATACTCCCAGCGCAGATGCGGAGAATCACCCTCCCAGTTCCTATCAGTTCCTGATAGCTCCAGGAGTACCTCTTCCCCTTGGACCATGAAGACTTCAACCTCGCTGATGCCCAGCTCTATCGTGCCAAAGGCTCCAGTTTGCTCCTGCCACGAGCCGAGATATGAGACCCGCGGTCAGCGAGAGGAACGTGGACGGAGCGAGACGTCGTCGTTGTGCTTGGCACCGTGGCTTTGGTTTCTTCAGTTCTGTCCTCAATGGGGTGAAGAAAACGGGGGCACAGACGGGTCCCCACGAAACCATCGACATGCACGCAACAGGGCCTCAGTTCAGCCCGGCACGACCGGCGCCATGAGTCTCTTGTTGGAACTGAACTGGATGCTCCTCGGGGTCGTCGCGGCCGCCTCGTGTCGCTGTCAAGAGGGGGTGCCGACTGTCGAGGGATGGGATGGCAGATGAGTTCAGGGGGTGCCGTGAAATCGGAAATTGATCGATCCGTTGGTCTGCAGCTTTGACACTGGGCTTTGGTCGAAATGGATTTGGTAGTTGAAGTTCCCTTCTTACCAAACATACATGTGTTTTTAGAATGGTGGAAACCACCGAAAAACAAGCAGGTTCTCACTGCAAGACACTTGGTACCCTACATTTCAGAATTTGACCGCTAATTGCCAACCTGGTTGAATATACCTAGAGAAAAAAAAACTGACCCACATGCCTTTGGGAGAATCTTTGCTCCATGTTTGCACCTGAGAACCTCTATCCCGGACCGGTCCGGCTTCGGCGCCATCGGAACGTCCGCGTGGTTTGAGCGACAGAGGTCGCAGAGCAGCAACGTGATGACCTTCGCCTTCGGTGGGGAAGACCCGTTTGGAAGATGCCCTGCGTTTGGGGCGAGCTTCCATCTGCAGTCGAGTTCGCGGAAGGTGTGTTTGATGTGACTCTGACACTTTTGCACTGACTATGACGATGACTCTCTAGTTGCTCTTGGAAAGATGCTCTACGGCCTGTGCTGGGTTTTCTCACAGATTCGGACCCCAGCTCCGTTGGAAGCTCTTGTGAGATATATGGGCAAAATGGGTGGCTTTCCTCATTCACTCATCACCGTACTATGTAATTACAATGTATGATATATTCCGTCTGAATGCCTTCAAAACCTATCTCGAGTAGTCTGCTGACTGGCAGAAACACGGGTGTTTTCCCTGGAACACGCTGTCAAAACCGGCACTGGATCAAAACCGGTGTTGTCCCTGGTTGACCACGGTGTCAATGAACAGAAGAGTGACTGAATAGATAGGTCAACCTACCGGTGAATGAAGGGGTCCATGTGGGTTGACCCACCCTCCCAAGCGGCTCAACACTGCACGTGAATGGGCCACGACCGACCGCTGAGGTGGCGCGGAGGGCACGCGCCTAGCCACCGCTGATTCGGAGGCGGTCATGGCGTTTTGCCCTGAAAGTCCTGGCCCAAACCTTAAAGGAGTTTACTGTGAGCTAGGACTTCAACAGGTTTCCAGCTCAAACCTTATTGATTTCATGTGACCAGCAACCTTTAAGGAGTTTAAAAACGAAAAGCCGGCTCAAGCATGTTGAAAATTGTCGGGCTTATAGCGCTCCCTGACTTGGTCCCACACATCTATACGGAGCTTTCCCCTCAACCTCCCTGAACAGAAAAGTTGGATTTACTCACCATGTACTTCATGTTTGTGCCAAGTAGTTATATAGTTATGTCGCCCAGCGCCGGGGATAAGACTGGCCGTTTCGCAATTTGAGTTCATCTCCAGCTGGAGCTTGGAACTGAAACGCACCGGGGCAAGTAGGTAGGAGCGGTAAAGGATGCGGAACCATCCCGTCATTTGATGGTGCTGGGTTCAGATCTCCATTTGGTATGAAGAGATGTCCTTTGAAAAAATACTACCCCTTAGCTGAATCACAGCCATACAACAATAATTTCATTGGGAGTTTGGATAGTTGGTGGTGAAAGATCTTTAAAAACCAAAAACATCGAACGAAACTGGTCCAAACTGTGGACTGCTTTCCACCGTCGGTGTCAGTGTCGTTGACGCTGGGTCTACGCGTTGGTGAAAACGCGTGAACACGACGTTTCAGGGAAGCTTGGCGATCTGGAACGTGCGGGGCCCAGTGAGTGTGATGGTACTTCTACTAGGTGATGGTGTCGGATATGTTTATTTATAACCCTTACTTGGGGATGATTGGACCCTCTGACTAATATGTTTCAAGTCGGTTGAAAACACCAATCAGTCTATAGTTTGACCATTTTCCAATGTGTGTGTGTGTGTCCTGTCTCGTGATCTCTAAGTATTGTAGGGTCCATTGGACACCCATTGGGTATAATTGTAATAGTTCTTACTCAGAGCACCCGTCAACTCCAACAGCCTTTTGGTCAGTGCTGGGGCTTGCAACACTAGACGAAGATACAAGAAACTTGTAAAGTTTCAGATGCTCTTCGACTGGGATACGAACCTCGAATATCAGCTTGGCACTTGATAAAGGTATACCTGTTCGTCTTTAAAATGTCTAAAAGGCGTTTCTATTCGTGTACACCACAGGTTACGCAATACAGGTCTTCCAGAGAGCAGAAGGATGCAGCAGACACATGGACAACGTCGATTTATCGCTCTCTGGCAGTTCAGTGGCCCCTCAGGATGGTATATCTCGGACGTGCGGTCGGTCACGTGTGCTCGGCGTGAGCGGAGCAGCACGCATCAAGTCCTGTCCAAAGCCTTCAGCAAAGAAACGGCCGAGCGAGGTCGGCGGTCCGACGGACCTTGCGAGCAGCCGTCCATTGACAAATGGCTGCATGACATCGATCTCTGAGGGAATCAGGCAACTGAAGCCAGATTCCAGAACAGCGAACAAAAACCCCCAAACTCAGCATGCTCCGACCGTCCAGAGTAAAAACCTCAACGTCCAAACTCTCACATGGTCCGCAGGGGAACTAAACCGTAGGTCGCTGAAAGAGGTCACGAA